CGGGAGTGGGAGCTCATGGGCCTGGAGAACACCCACAGCAGCGGGGGCCGAGGGGAGGCAGAGTGAGGCCTCAGAAGCGAGAGACTTGCCCCAAAGCCAGGCCCTGGATCTGACAGGGGGACACTCCCCCGGGTCCCCCCCATAGCCCACCTGGAATAAGGAGCTTGTGTTTGCAGACGACGTCTCTGGATGGATGGGCACGCACGCACACATGCACGCATGCACGCACGCACGCACGCACACGGCTGTGACGGTGCCGTGGGCCCTTGCACTGCTTGTGAGCCACAGGTGCTCATTATCTATTCTGAAAACTTTTTTGTTTTTAGGTGAATCCTCACCTGAGGATATTTTTCCATTGATTTTTAGAGACTGGAAGGGAGGGGGAGAGACAGAGAAACATGACCAGGACCGGGAATCAAGCCTGCAACGAGGTATGTGCCCTTGACCGGAATCAAACCCAGGACCCTGTAGTCTGAAGGCCAGCGCTCTAACCACTGAGCACACCACTAGGGCCTGGGAACTTGAGAGAGAAAAGGCAATTTGCACCTGTGCAAGCTGACTCATCCAGGACGACAGCAGGGCTGCTACAGGGAGTGTAATGCTAACCCAGCGACAGGACGGAGCCCCTCGGCTCCCCCCCCTGTTTGGCCCAGCCCTGTGCCCCGGAGCTTCCTGTAACCTCTAAAGCAACAGGGGAGACGGGGAGGGGAGACCAAGGCAAGAGAGGCCGCCGTCCCCCAGCACACACCCGACTCAGGAAGCCCTGGAACGGGGCGGCTTGGGGCTTCTCCTACCGCATAGTCCCTGGGACCTTCTCCTCGGTACCCCGACTTCTCCACCTCCAGGAAAGGGAGCGTGTCTCAGTCCTCTGACCTCGCGGCCCGGTGTGGGCCGGCCGCCCATCTCCCGTCCGGTCCTCCGAGCGGCCTCTTCTGCGCCTGCGGCCCGGGAACCAATGCACCCCACAGCCTCCACTCAATACACCTGCGGCCCAACCCGGCCCTGGCTCCGCCACCTGGCGGCCCGGCCCGGCCCCTGCGTGCTAAGCAGCCCCTTCGCCTTCCCCTGCCACGTCCACACCTGCTGTGCGGGTGCCCACCGGGCCCTGGACATTGCAGACTCGCCCCAGGGAGCCGCGATGGGTCGTCAGGGTCCCGAGGGCCTCAGGAGCAGCCACACAAGGACAGGACAGGCCCGAAAACCAGGGAGGAGCCCGCGTGCACCTCGCCCAGTGCCAGCCTGCACCGCGGACCCAGGCCCTCAGGCCCTCCCGCCCCACCAAGGCCTGGGGAGCCCATGAGTCCCGCCAGCAGCCAGGGCCTCTGGCTCTGCCATTTGCTCTGCGGGGAGCTGGGCCTTAGTCTCCCCATCTGTGAAATGGGGTGAGTGGTTAGTATTGTTAGGCGACTGGCGGATGGGATAAACAGCCGCACCTGCCTCTCTCCAACTCTCTCCTTCCTCCAAACAGGCAGCTGCTCTCATCTGACTCTAGGCTCTCTAGGACTCGGGGCAGTGGTGGCTACCAGGACTCGATGGCAGGAGGGGGCTGCTGAGCACTCCTTCTCCACTCCACCACACTCTCTCTTGGGCTCCTGCTTCCTTTGGGA